TACCTCTCGCAGTTTCTGTGATCCTGATTCAGAATTTCAAGTAACTGAAAATATCTTATCCGACTTGATTTTCATGGCGATATTGTCAAAAAGTAGTAATTAAAAATTTCCTACCAGAATTACAGGAGCGTGAGGAGTTATAGAAATATATAGGTATAGAAATACATTCTGCTCCGCATAGTAAATTGGTGGAAGATTAAAGCTTTCCCTACACTTCTCGCACTTTCTGTGATCCTGATACAGAATTTTATATAGCCAAAGACTGCACATCCGATCAGGTATTCATGACGGGATCGTCAAATTTTGCTACCAGGATCTAAGGAAGGTTAGCAGCAATCGAAGTGTAGTACGTGTAAAACGCCAGGAGATTTAAACAGTCTCTGCAAATACCTCTCGTCGTTTCTTCGATCCTGATACAGAATTTCAAGCAACTGAAAACTGCAGATTCGATCATATTTTCATGACAAGATCTCCAAACAGTTATAGTTTAATTTGTTACCAGGATCACAGACGCGAAGAGGTATCGAAAGGTTTTCAGACTATGTGTAAAGGATATTAAGGGAAATTTCAAATGAGAGTCTATCAATACAGTGTTTTAAGGATTTGTTTTATTAAGGAAGAACAACATATATAAATTTCTGTACATAATTCAGTATTATATACAAAACAATAATTATACATACATGACTTCTTTGGTGAAATGATACAAGATAAAATAATTCAATGACAATAACAAAAATATGGGAAACTAACTGAAATAAATTATGTTTAAATGGACAAAACATTCAGTGCGTTATAAAATAATCTACAAAGGTACAAATATACATTTTCGCAACACCTACAGTCCTATATTCTCATTTGCCGATAACCACATTCGTTATTAACAATGAAAGACAAAAAACTCACATTAATAATTGCAAAATGTACCAAAAGTCACACAACAATTAGATGTTTACCCTGACGTATTTTTAGGTGAATTCATTTGGTATTAATGAAAATTGAGCTAGTTTCACAAAAAAGTTTACAACAGAGATCAATAAATACATTGCAAACATAAAGTAATACTGAATTTCTAATAATCAAACGCCCCAAGCCTTCAGTTAAAGATATTTGACTTTATTACTATTGTAGCTGTACGAAATCAATTTTTTTATAATTTCTGTTAATACTCTATTTAGTTACATAAATGGATGGGCGGACTTTACAGTATACACAAAAAATGCATTTTGTAAATTGTTGTTGTAAATCTAGCGACATATCGGGTTTTCCAATAGGGTCTTGACAAGTTTGAACTTGTGAACACTGTGAACGCACCTTCAAATCAATTACCGAACTGTCAATGTCAAAATATTCAGTAAAGAAAACATTTTCATCATGGTGAAGTACACGAACGAACAACGCTTACAAATAAAATTTACTATCGAAATTCCGAGTTGGTGACTGAGACTTCAAGAGCGTTAACGCCAATTTTTGGTCGTAATTTTCGTCCAAGTAGACAACCCAATTCATAGTCTAGTGAGACAACGGGTTGGTCGAAGTGCCGAGAATATTGCTGCCGTTCAAGCTTCCGTCGCAAACGAACAGAACACGTTGATCCTAGGGCGTCCTCAAGAATTAGGCATCGCTCAGACCACACTATGGCGAATTTTGCGAAGAGATCTTGGCCTGCACCCTTACAAGATCAAGTTACTCAAGAACTAAAGTCGTTCGATCATATGAACGGACGTACGTTCTCGAATTGGGCTCTACAAATGATGCAAGAAAATGACCAATTCCATCGCAAAATCATCTTCAGTGATGAGGCGCACTTTTGGCTAAACGGCTTCGCCAACAAACAGAATTTGTACTCTTGGTCAGGTGAGGACCCTCATGTGCTCCAAGAAACACCACTTCATCCACAAAAAATAACTGTATGATGTGGTTTTCATGCCGGTGATGTTATTGGCCCTTTTCGATGTTGAAAATGACCGCCACGTTACAGTCAACGGAGATCGCTACAGAGACATTGCAACGTTATTTTTTTGGTCAATTGGATGGGCAACAATCGACATATTGAAATCAAAATTACGTGTTATATCGAGAATGGCCGCCTAGATCGTGTGATTTACCACCTCTAGACTTTTTTGTGGAGCTTCATTGAATCATTGGTCTATGCCTACAAGCCAGCGACATTAGAGGAGCTCAGAGCCAATACTGAACGTTTCTGTCGAAATGCGTAACCGAGTCATTGAAAATTGGGTTGAACGAATCGATCGCTGCAAACGTGGCCGTGGTGGACATATAAACGAGGTCGAATTCGATACATAAATGTTTTGAGTATACTTCAATCCAATAATAAAATTTTCGAGATATCTCAAATGGTTTGCGTTTTATTTAAAAAGAAAGTTGTCAAGTTTTTAATGGAAAACCTTTTATATCCCAACCCCGTGATTTCCTTGTGCATGAAATTACAGCCGGCAGCCCTAACCAAGCATGGCATGGTATGGGATGCCTGTCTGCTACTATAATTTTCCTGTACATAAAAAATCATCAGGTCTAACTGACATCAGGTTTTGGACTATGAGTAACTGACCTAGTGAAACGTCAAACTGTTGTCATTAATGTGATTCTTTCATCGGGAACAAAGTGCAGAGTCGTGATTCACTTACATGATACATGAAGAGTATAAAATCATAAGTACATAGTGCATACGCGTGTCGTCATATACGAGGGGGGATCTGATTGTACTTTTGCAGTAACCCTAGTGTTCAAAGATTCTGATAGATCGCTTTCACATGACGTTACAAGTTCGGTCGCCATTTTGGCTAGAAGACAACGACAGTTTGTTACAGTTGACATTATCGATGACAACCTATCAACTATTGTTCGATCGAACTATCAATGTCATGCATTTGAAAATGATCTATATACAAGACTACTTAGATTACAAATTGTAATGATGAAATCATTTTCCATGGGGATCGATTTTTAAAAACGAGGGAGTAGGATTCTAGTAAAAACTACAAGTATTCTAGTATCTTTAGATGAAATAATACGTTCCTAGATTGTTTATATAATTAAGCGTCTCATCGCAAAGTTGTTCTATAAGTTTTCTCTGTTATTCTACTTCCTCGATTAGAGAATTGACCCCCTAGTGATTATTTCAGCTTGCGTCAATTTCAAGATAATTAAAGTTAGATAGCGCCACCTACTACTAGAATTGACACATACTGCAACCACCACAAATCATATACAGTAATACCCCGACTTACGCTACCCCGTTTTACGCGAATTCGGAGATACGCGGTTTTTCATTTTGATTGCCGCGCGCAGCGCGCATCGGCTCTCTCGCTCCGCGCGCGCATCGGCTCTCTCGCTCCGCGCGCGCATCGGCTCTCTCGCTCCGCGCGCGCATCGGCTCTCTCGCTCCGCCCACTCAGTGTTCAATTTGCATCAGGTTTAAACGTGTTTCGCGTGCAATTGTTTTACGTGCGCAGTGCGTTTTACTTATAATCTCTAATTATGTCGTCTAAAAGAACAAAAAATGAGTCATTTGAGCCTAACAAGAAAAGAAAAACACTGTCTTTGGAGTGTAAACTGAATATAATTAAAGACTTTGAAGCAAAAATGAAAATTTGTGAATTGGCGAAGAAATTTGACCTTCCGGAATCAACAGTCCGAACGGTTGTAAAAGGTAAAGAAAAAATTATGAACGCTGTGAAAGACTCTCAATCTTTGAATTCAAGTATCATCCGTAAGCGTCACGGTATTATCGCACAGATGGAAACATTGCTACAGTCATGGTGTGATAATCAAGTAAGAGTGAAAAATTGTCCTGTTGATCAAAATACAGTGTGCTTTCAAGCAAAGCAGATTTTTGAAAAACTAAAAGAAGAAGCTGGGGAGGCGGCTGAAAATGAAGTGTTTAAAGCTAGTAACGGCTGGTTCAGCCGATTTAAGAGTCGTTGTAATTGGCATAGCATCGCAGAGAGTGGAGAAGCGGCAAGCGCTGATAAAGAAGCTGCATCTCTCTATCCAGAAAAACTCAAAACAATGATAGATGAAGGTGGCTACACTAGCCAAACTATTTTCAACGTAGATGAAACAGGTCTTTTTTGGAAGAAAATGCCTAAAAGAACTTTTATTGCGCGTGAAGAGAAAACTTTTCCAGGTTTTAAAGCCGCCAAGGATCGATTAACAGTGATGGTTGGTGCGAATGCAGCTGGAGATTGTAAATTAAAACCTCTCTTAGTTTATCGCTCAGAAAATCCAAGGGCCTTAAAAAATAAATCCAAAGCTGGTTTGCCTGTCATTTGGAAGTCTAATGCGAAAGCTTGGGTGACAGCTTCTCTTTTTGAAGACTGGTTTGGCCATCATTTTATTCCTGAAGTCGAACGTTACTGCCGATTAAAAGAAATCCCATTTAAAGTGATGCTACTAATTGACAATGCACCAGGTCATCCTCCCGCAACTCTAATTAATTTCGATCCACGTGTGGAAGTTGTATTTTTGCCACCAAACACTACCAGCTTGCTTCAACCAATGGACCAGGGAGTCATTAAAACATTTAAAGCTTACTACACAAGGCGGTCATTTGCACATCTACATGAAGCTATGAGACAAAACAATGAGCTTTCTGTTAAAGACTTTTGGAAGCAATTCAATGTTTTAGATGCTGTAAGAATTATTGGACAATCTTGGAATGAGGTTTCACAAAAAACTCTCAATGGTGTCTGGAAAAAACTGTGTCCATTTTTTTTCACCTCTGAAACTCAAGGAGAAACCATTTCAGATCCTGAACAAATCGATAGCATAATAGAAGAAGTGGTCGATATCGCCAAGCAATTAAATTTAGAGGTCGATAATGATGACGTTCAAGAATTGCTAGATTCACACAATCAAGAGCTAACAATTGACGAGGTTATAGAAATGCGTAAGTATGAGCAAGACATTGAACAAACTGATTCGCTAGACCCAGTTGAATCGGTAAATCAAATGACAATTGCAAACTTAACAGAAGGACTCAATTCAATTGAAAAGGGGTTACAAATTTTAGAAAAAATTGATTCTAATGAAGAACGCGTGTCTACTACAAAACGAGGGATAAAAAAATTACTGGTATGCTACGAGGAAATTTTACGTGAAAAGAAGAAAAATTTAACTCGTCAGGCAACATTGTTAGAATATATAAAGCCTTCGACATCAAAATAACTTCGGTTTAGCTTACTTTATTCATAACAATGTAATTTTTTTTATTATCCTACACTTTATTAAACATTTTTCTTCTAAATTATTGTTTTCTTTAAACTCTGGTCCCGATTAAACAAACTTTATATGTATTTATATGCAACATTGAACCCCGACTTACGCGAATTCGACTTACACGGCAACCGTTCGGACCCACCTATCGCGTAAGTCCGGGGTATTACTGTATTCACCATAAACGTCACTTTATCAGTAACACAAATGTAGTACCTACTCCAAAAGTTCTGATACAATTTCATACTCCAATTATTGCACTTTTTTATTGAACAATACTTTCAACTATAACATTTAATATTATTAAATTAATTACCTAAGGAGATATATTCCAACAATGATGGAGTAGATACCCATATTTTCAGATAGCCTATGATACAAGAGTATAAAAACGTTGTCATCTAAACAACTGATCAGTCGAATCGTAATATCAATGTAAAGGACTAATACCCAATACCTAGAGGTAAATGTATGCGTGTCAAAAATCTCGTTTTCGAACGAAAAATAATTTCAAGTAGATTTACTTGATGTCATTTTTTGCAATAACCTCCGATAAATAGGATGTTGACATGCATAATTTTATGAAGATAATTTTCTAATTTAGCACACGCCGTGAACAGTCACACAAAACCCATGACAGTCGATAATGCCTACGTATAATTACGTACAAGTTTATCGAGCACTTTCTGAAGAAAACTATGATAATTCTTACGTTTTTTATTCGCAAGAAGCACTTTGGGCGTTTGTTTTTGTTGATTTGGTTGACATCTTTACCAAAACTTGAGCACGATTTGATAAATTTAGAATATATTATAACTTGACAGTCTGGTAGGAAAGCAAACATAAGCAGTTTCTAATTGCCTTATTTTACTCGGATTATAATTTCAACAATTGGTATTTAAAACATAAATATAAAGCTTTAGTATTCTATTTATGTTAGTCACATAATCGCGTGTATCAAATGCTACAAATTATGTCAATATTAAAATCCACTTGACTGATTTGAATATAGGGTGGTAAAACTGTGATAGGCTTATATTTGAATGCTGTATGGAACAGTGAGGAAAATATATATCTTATATTCAATATGGGAGACAACTAATATACAGGGTGTTACAGAATGTTGAGAGACTCAGCACGTAAAAATATGAAAACAATTCATATAAAAATTTGACAGAATATTTTTCACTTCATGAAAGGGCGCGAAAAATTGTGCGCCACTGGTTTTTATAAAAAAAAACGTATTGATTGTGTTTGGAGCTGTTCCTTATGTTCTTTAAAAAAGTGCTAATCCGGTTACTATTTTGTAGTTGTTAATTTTTCTGTCCGAACCAAAAACTAAAAAGGCAGTAGCGTACATAATTTTCGAGTAACAGAGACTTGAAGGGGAGATTTGCACATGTTAATGCAACATCTGACAATACATTTGCGTGTACCAAAACTCATCTCAATCCGTTTTCTAGAAATATTATGTGAATTATCAAAGGCGGACAAATTGAAACAGACTGTACTATCAAAAAACCCTTCAAACTTCCTCGCAACATTACGTAACATCCCGTACACGTTAGATACATAGACTGACTGCATCAAAACGCTGCTGGAAAATTCCGAAAAAATCTGTATTACGAGTAACAATTATAGTAACACAAGGTCACAAACCAGCCTGAATCATCCCACAGCAATACACTGAAACCATCAGGAGATCGCCCCTCCCACACTTTCCAATCTATCCGATCGAGACTCTTCCTTTAGCCACGCCTCCCATTCAGATCCCGCCCTGTTGCGGCGACTGTACCGCTCCCGTAGGCGTGGCCTGCTGGCTGCCACGCCTCCGCGGTATTGTACCGCTTATAGAAACAGTTGTTGCTGCTTCGGGGCAACCGTAGCTAAGCAACAGCTCTACCAGCGCTCTGCATTGGGCGATCGAAGATTCTGGTTGGCTTTTGGCCGTGGCGATGCTTAAGGCCGCCTTAGCGTATGCAAGGCATGTGCGACCATCTTGGTCCACACATTTTACGTCAGCGTTGTGCTGGAAGAAAAAAATACGAAATTATTTAAAACAGTTTTAGGTATATTGAGGAATGGAGTCTTCAAAGCAATTCTACTATTATTCGTCCTTTTCATTTAATTTTTTAGTCAGAGTTATGCTGGTGACCCAGAAACCAGGCAATGTAGGAAGAGTGGGAAAGAAAGAGAAGAAGGTGAAAGTAGAAGACGTAATGTAAAATGAGTGGCATATAAGGATTGTTAGACAGTTGACTAGAAAGAAAAAACACAATCAAGCATTCGCTTATAGTCGCTTAAACTGATAAAATTACGAGATGCACATAAAAAAGGCCACCATGGTGGCCGAAATGTCGTTAGTAAACAGTGTGGTTTTATTTAGAGGCCAGACAAACATGGAGGATTCTGAGATATGCATGACATTCGATAGGAAATCGAGAGACCCACCGTTCGTTTTGCTCTCCTAAAAAACTATCAGTTTTGAGTCACTCGGTGTTAGAACTCAAGCGACGATATCAATTTAAATAACAGTATTTCGTGCTCATTAGCAACTCATCAGTGCCGTGCAGGTTTAGTAGTGCTGGAAACAGACGAACAGAAAGCAAACAGGTGGATATGGATTTTGGCACAAATGTTCCCCAATTTCACCAACAGCTCTCAAGAACTGTTATCTTTCGTCTGAGGATTGATTGAAGAAATGTATCCTTGAGGAACTGCCACAAAAAAGCGGGATTTGATTGCATGATTTCGCAAATCGGCGGACATCATTGCGAGAAATTACCCGGCTAACCAGAATATCTGTCTGTGGCAACTCTAAAATTTCCTCTACCATTTGTTACGTAACCTTACTTTGTTGAAATCATATAATAATATGAGTTCAAGAAAGATCCATATTATGTTAACGTTCGTAGTGTAGCTATACCGTTCCACCGTCGTAATTTTAATGAAAAAAATGTATAGTGCATAGAGTGCTTGTTTCCAGTAAGTATGCACAATTCTGATGCATTACTACTTCGTAAAATGATCCACAATTTCTCGGCCTCTAGGTGTAACAGGCGCAATCAAAGTCTTAGATAAATGGGGCCAAATTAAAAAATCCGGATCACTTATTAAGACAGCATCTAGATGTGTGTTTAGATTAAGAAATTTGTCTGATGCTTACCCAAATAAGCAGCTGAGCAACAGCTAAATTCCCCATTGCACAGGATAAGTGTAATGGCGTCCTCAGATCTCTCGTTCCAACAGTCGTGTTCACTTCTTGCGCATTCGCTCTGGCCAGAACGTTGATGATTCCTTTTATGTTCGAAGCACACACTGAATCTATCAGCTGTTGGCCTGCAAAAGATTGAAAAAAATCGATTACGATACAATAAAAATTTTCCTTTACACTCAATTTTTTTAATGAACCAGATTAACATGGTTACGTACATTGCATCGCTGGAGCTGATACATTCAATAATCTGTTACCAGTAGATGGCTTGTGGAGTACACTGTTGATACTACAGGGTTGACAAAAAGAGTCAAAGGTGGCACAGTTGTGAGGTGTGTGCTCCACACCACTATCACTACTACACTCAACAGGGTGTCCTGAACGTTGGGTCTTTTCCGAGTCAACTTTGTGTGCAATACAAAAGCTAATTTACGGCACAACAACACCAAATACGTAAGAAAGAAATTGGAGAAAAATATTCACTATTCATCTGGAAAGGAATTTCTAATACTACCCTGTCACAAGTTTTGTTTATAAACACTGCTTGAAGTTCTTTATTCGATTCGAAAATGCGAGTTTGTTTACTTCTTCCTAAATGTGTAACAATTGGGGATGTTCATGACTCCAAGGGTGTTTAACCAGTCGGCTTTGCACAATAGACACAAAAATATGCAGCACTGATGGAAATAACTATCGAGGACGACGGCGACGTTATGAGTACATTCGTGGAGATATACGGAGTGACAAAAAAGGAAACACCTACAATGGGGTATTTTCCAACTTGGTGATATTGTCCTATTGATGGCTGAAATCGATTGTTTACACCATTTATTAATTGGTATACACTTTGCACGCGCTTTTTTCACAAATTTGCTGAAAAAATACATTTGAAATTCATACCACCAAAGTGGGTTCATTTAAACTTCTTGTATGTCCCTCCGCAAAAATTAGCCAATAGGAATCGATTTTTTTAAAGGTTCTCATTAGAATGTGATGCTATTTTATCAAGGATCACAATCAGCGCTATTGCCATGCACTAGGGAATTTCATGAAAGTTCACGACTTAGCAACCCTTCCTTATTCCAATCAACAGTGTTGTCTCAATGGTGTACCTGTCTATATATGTATGTATAGCTGTAGGTCGACATAACTTGTGGTTCAATAAGGGTCAAACCGTTGACTTTTGACAGTGACAGAGTGCCGTACCCTGTTTGGTGCTGTTGATTTTGTGTTATCCGTTTTGTAACCTTTATATATTGAATTCTTTTGAACGTTACAACAAAATGTCTGTAAATTTGCTTTGTTAAAGTCTTTATTGTGTCGATAGTATAGATCGATCATCTAGTAATCTACTTTCGGTAAATTCGAAGAATCTGCTTTTACGAAGTTTTGTTCCATATTTTAATTGTGTATTTAAAAAGCTAAATTCCATATCAGTCACTGCCCCACGCTGCACAAGCTAAATCACAATACCAAATCGTCAACAACAACGCCAGAATGCATCATAACCTTTAAATTATCTGTCAAAAACGCAAAGTCACAGAACGCAAATAGCTCCGGACGAGTCTGTAGAACAAAATTGGGTATATCTCCTGTCCTTGTCACACTGTAATTGCCGAACAAATGTAGAGTCACATTCTAAGAAGGGGGCGGAGAAAATATTAGTACGTCACGCCAGATATTAATACGTCACACAGTTGGCGGCAAATTTTATTTTTAAACTTTGAAGCCGAGTTTTTGTTACTTCTTGGCCACCAAGATCGCCTGACCTATCTCTAATTGAACATGTCTGGGATAAGATAGGTCGCAGGCTCTTCAATTTGCAACACCCTCCACAGACTTTAGAAGCTCTTACTCACGAAGTTACAATAGCCTGGTATGAGATACCCCAACAGGATATCGACCACCTTATCAGGCCGAATCAAGCTGAAAATTTCATTTTACTATAAGAGACACTGAACATATATGCCAAAAATTATTGAAATCGGATAAACATACGTAGGTGTTTACCTTTTTGTCACCCAGTATATCAATAGGATGTTGAAGATGCTCATATCAAATCGATAACTCCGTTATTGCTCTAGGAATGTGCCAATTCCGATTTTTAAAATGAGGTTTGTTTATAAACTAGGTTAATCTAGACATCATGCGACACTTGACTTGGATACTGACTCACATAGTCCTCGTACAACATCATACATTTTGACGTAGGACGGGATTGTCGTAGAAGAGGGTGGCATATGTTACTAAAAAACAAGCTTATTATCGACTGATCTATACGCTCTGTAAACGAAAGTCCCAACTTTGAGGTCACCCTGTATTAAGATTTTCAAGTTCTCACGCTCTTATAGACCAGCAAGCCAAATATACCTGGGCACGCACCAACCGGTAAATAGAAACGGCGATCGAGTGCTCGTCATACGGGGTAAATGAGATGAGAGACTATTTTGTGAGATTAAAATTTTTCTTGAAACTCACCTAGAGGCATCGTGTTGTTGGGTGGTGGAAGAAACTCCTTGCTTTCGTATTTTGCTCGTATCCACCTCTCTTTTTCTTCCCGACTAGAAGTAGGGGTTGGTTTTGTCCTATTCTGCGTCTGACACTCCCAAACTGAGTTTGCCAGTGAGTTGCCGATCGCCAGCATTACAGCCAGGTTTCCAGGCCTAAAATCCAACATTTTCGTAATTGTAGATTAATCCCTACTAATATCATAAATGAGGAAGAGTGGAGGTTTGGTACCCAATCACGCCAAAGTCGATGAACGGATCTGGATTAAAAATTGGTACAGAGGTAGATTATAGTCTGGAATAGCACATATGTTACGTTTCATCCTGAGGAATAATTTTGAAATATCTATTTCATGGGCCCAAACTGCTTGATGAGATTTGACACAAGGTGTCTGACGTAAGGATTCATCAAATCAAGTAGCTTGATATTTTCATAAAATAAAATTACTTGGAACGTGAATGTTTGACTTGACTTGATATTGTATTGTTCTACTTGATTTGACTTAGGCATTTTCAAACTACTTGATACTTGATGGCGAAATTATATTTTTGATCTACTAAATACCTTCAGTGATATTTACGTGTACAACAGCTGAGCCGTATTTTAATACAAATAATCACGACAGCGTGGAAAAAAAAACACTAAATCGGTATTGTCGTTCAAATTCGGTAGATTCAAGGACAAAATCTGTAAGAAGAAAAATGAACGCCGGTGTACGATCAGCGGCCGATCAAGCAGAGCTTTTGAGCCACGCAGCGCCATCTATGAAAAGTATATTTTCGTATGGCGCGGGTACGCAAAACAAATACAGATACTATGCTTATGAAAACAAATTAAAATTAAACTCGACAAATAATTCTACATGCTTTTTACAAAAAATAAATATAACGTCCATACATAGCTTTTATCCATGTTGTAATAACAAACAGCCATAACTTAAATATAATTATTATGATATAGGAGTGTAGTTCACTTCCATTATTTTTAATTTTACCACCATCACAAATCCGTTAGGACCCTTGTGAGTCTTAACTCGTGGTTGGCAAATGAAAAGTCAATTTAGAATTTTCATTTATTTGTATCAGCTGATGATGTTTTTTTTCTACTTGCCTTTAGTTTTATCGATCTATTATTTGTTATACGATGGTCAAATTATTTTGTACAATATGTAGCGTTTTCTCTGAATCTTGTGACAAGTAATGTCTTTCCATAGTGTATTTATAATCTACACGTATTTATATTATTATACCACGTCTATCAATAACAAATGACATATTGTCATTTCATGCTTTCTTATAAAAATAATTCTAAGCTTTCCTCGTTTTAAAAATTTAATATTATTTAACCTGAAATGAGAATTATTTATGGCAAAAGGATACTTACGGCCAATCGTCAAGATCCATCGAGCGTACCCTGGATATGTGAGATCCTAAATTTCTGTGAATGCCTGAGCATTCTATGCACATTAGAACACCGAGATTCAAACTGGCCCAATCTGGATCTAGAAATAAAAAAAATACATCATCGAATATTCAAATGTCATTCGGATTTCGATGGAATTTTGGCACCTAAGGGCCACATGACACGATCTCAAATTGTCATGAAATAGAATTTTATATATGTACTATTAACTGCTGGACATCCCGGGAAATAATTGTAAAGTCTGGTTTTATTGCTACAAGTTGTTCAAGCGGGTATTTAAAATATTATTTACATGCAAAAAAATGGGTCACTTTTTTTTCTTCTAAACAAATTCAAATATTCCGTATTTGAGAGTAATTCGCATCACATCCGCTTTGTTTTAAAATGCGTATAGTATCGCATTGTAGCGTTTTTCTGGGTTCTTTTGGGTGTTGGTTAAAATACTCGATTCCACAAAAAGAAATGCATTAATTTATTTAAAACACAACACAACTAACTTTAACTTGACCGGACAGAACATTTATGTACACCACTATTTAAGTCTGACTACTATTTACGAATTATTATGTCGCGCCATTCACTCAACTCTACCTCCTTCTCTCGTTAGTTCGAGAAAGTTCCGGTAAGCCACATAGCAGCAGTCCAGAATCTTCGATCTCGAAGGAGAGTCCCTGGCGCGGTTCCCAACCGATGTCGCTCGTAGTACCACTAGGTGTCAGTCTCGCATCGAAGGAGAGTCACTGGCGCGATTCCCAACAGATGGCGCTGGTAGTACCATTTATTCTTGTTACAGTATGCTTTTCGAATATCGTAGCGCATTTTTTCAATTAATCACAAATACGATTATGTTTGAATTTATTTAGACGAAAAAAAAAAAACGCAACCTTTGTGTTTCGCAAAAAATAACATTTATCTTTCGGAATGGTTTGTGATTCATATCGGCAAGGTAAGCACTTGTATTTTGCTATTAAATGCTCTTTGAACGAACCCTGTATATTGCTCAATAAACTAGTACTGATGGCCGGAAGACAGGTGTTTTGGGCTGCGCAATTAGGAATTCTCAAAACGTGCTTGACCAATATATTCCAATTTTGTTGTTGTTATTTAAAAGTATGAATCCTACGGATTTTAAGAATTTCAAGTAGTTGCGTGAAATTATCGTCGCATTACCAACAAGTGCCAAAACCTGCATTTTGCCATGTTTTTCAACCATAACATTTTTGCTATTAGTCGAATCTCTTTAAGTGTGGTCTGATTTTGTAGGTCTCATAAATACCTAAAAATCTTATTTGAAAAGTTTTTTCGTTCCTCATTCTTTGTTGACGAATAAAAAGTGTTCTCACAAAAATTGGTGTACCCATTTTATGCGTCCATGTTGTAAATACCCAACTTGTACCAATAAAACCAGACTTTACAATAATTTCTGGGAAATTTGCTAATATGATTAGACTAAGCTTAGCATACGCCCTGTTTCCAAAAAATTGAAAATAATTGCAGCAAGCATCTACCCGGTACAATCATTCGGACTTGTTCCCACGTATAAGTAAAAGTGGCATTCTTAAATTGGAGAGGTGCGTTACTGCATCCCAAATGAGATACTTTGGGAGATGCTACAAAAAGACAGTGTGGCAACATGCCTCAATCAGGCGCACGAATTTCTCAAAAACACCGGAGAAAACAAATCAGTGAAGCCGATTTTGACCAAAGTAGGTCATCAATCAGCCAGCTAAGCCAGCGATGTCAAATCCAGAATTCAAAGTTTAAGTGTTATGTGCCTTATGTCTCATAATTGTAATAAATACTTGGTAAAAAGCTATTAACCTATGTCATCTATCCTCTTCGTATTTCACCCCTTTCCTGGGAAGTAAATATTTTGAATGATACAGAATCAATACGTTTTTGTTTTTTATTGTTTATATATTATGTAGGTATAAGAAAAATGCATCATACATATCTAAGAGAATCTATATAAAATAAAGAAAATAAAAGTTTCAAATTGAATTTGATTTTATTCACTTATTGTTAATTTGCGAAACTTGCTGTAGTAAAAATTATATTTTTGCACTTACTGGTAGCATCGCAATCAACACAACATCCGTTCCCTGGTACTCTGGCCTTAATCTGCTGGATAGTAGAAGCGTCTGCTGGGTTTGCCTTCATTTTCGTCGATTCGTTCAGTTGAAGGGAATTCAGGATCTGCTGCTCAATGGCAGTCACCCATTCGTCCCTCTCTTCGCAACTAGACGCTTCGAAGTGCCACTGTTTCGTGTCCAACGATACGATGATGAACTCGTATCCGTCATTATCTATAAAAAAAGACACAAACATATTTTTATTAATTTGGCCCAAAATGAGTTCTACTGCACGTAATTCTTAATGGGCCTCACAAACTTATGCCGAGATTTCTCGCTGTGTCTTCTCGCGAAGATTTCTCGTAAACACAACATATTTAGTATAACGCAGAGAGTGGGGAAAGGAGAAATACCAAGTATTCAGGCAGCAGCGGTGGCGTAGTGGTAGACGTTGTGGGTCTACTAATCAGTCACCGGCAGACGGTCTGTGACTTAAACGCGGAAGTACCACCCGGTGGATCTCTAAGGCGGGGCCAGAATGTGTGCATGTTGTATGCACACGTGTTGCCTCGTTGTGGCGTCCCCCCTTTCCACTGTATTACTCTATAGCTCTCCGTACCCAATGGGTGTTTGGGACTTGAGGCTTCGTGGTGGTTTAAGTATATAAAAAACCACCTTGTACCGAAAGCTACACTGTTGGACTGGGTACTGTAAACTCGAGTAGCAAGGCATAATAAGTCCTAAAGTCTGCAGTGTTATCGGGGACTTTGGTCGGGCGTCTCCCAGAAAGGGGAAAAATTACCATTGTTGCATAAAGTGAAAAAGTACAAAAAAAAGGATTTTTTTCGATTAAATCGTGATCAATTTTCATTAATGTGTACTGATTTTTGCATTGAATATGACCATAATGACGTTTGACATACGTAATTTTCATTATTTTTCTCTACGCCCAAAAATATTTGTTGCCTAGATTTATGGTAAGAAAATCTCCTCGACAAACAAAAAAACTTGAGTTGACATGCCCTGCGCGTGCTGCGGCTTTCGTGTCTGAACAAGAAAATTCGTTGGTTGTTCGCGGTTGACTTACTTTCTTACTTATTTTCTTATTTCCTATACTTTCTTCTTTAAAACGTAGAGTGTTTTCAAAAGACAGCTGAAATGTCGCGAAGTGGTGTTAGAAAACAAGATCCTATTTGGCAATGTTTTATTGAAAAATCGAATAAACCCGACGGAAAAACTGGAAGCAGGGTGAGCTGTAAAAAAATGCAAATTTGAATTCCAATGAATTGTTAAACGGATGAAAAGACACTGGGGGTATGTCAGGTGTATATGTAAGTACAGTGCAGGTTAACTGAATGAGTGAAATTTGATTTTATTACTTTTTAAATGCGATAAGTAGGCAATGAAAGCGTTGAAGAACAAATTTATTTATAAAGTATTCGTATTGACTGGGAACTATACAGGGTGTACCTTAATTATATGAGAATATTTAAGAGTGTAAACTGTAAACTATGGTCCAAAAATGTTTCCTTACAAAAACTCGGCGTGTTTTAGGAAAAAAATGGAAATTAATATTTTCAGAACCGCTTCAGATATTTCACTGATATTTAGTATGTAGTAAAAGTTAATAAAGCTGCATATTTTTCAATGCAAAAATAATTTTTAGCTTTAACAGTGGCGTGCGTACGGGTATTGACTTCGACATTTTTTAAGAAAAAAATGGTACACCAATGGTTTTTTGCCAAATAAAAATTATTTTTGAATTCCTCGTTCAATTTAAAACAAATGATCTCTCTTGAATTGTTAACTTGCAAAATTATTATTAATTTAATTGGGAAAATTAAACACATTAGGGGTAATGAACAACAACAACTAACAACATAAACATAACATTAAAACCAACGAAATGATTACAAAAAATGTTGAAAATGGCCCCCTTCACTTAGTATGCATGCTTCCGCCCTCCTTCTCATGGAATTGCGCACTAGTTTAAATATTCCTGGAGTATTTTTTATTCTATCACAAGCTGCAACTATTCTTTCTCTTAATCCCTCTACAGTGTTAATGGGACACTAGTGTCTTAAGATAGCCCCACATTCTTGAGGCCCACCGTGGCCAATCCAACAATTTGGATAAACAGTTTGTAGATAATTACGAACCGCTACACTGAAATGCAATCATGCATGTACCACATACTGTTCCTTATTACCTACGAAACATCATCAAGCAGCAAAGGCAACTGTTGTTGAAGAAAATTGAGGTAAGTCTGTCCGCCAAGTCGTCCCGGCAAGAAGAATGGGCCAATAAAGTGGTTGCCAATAATTCCTGCCCATACGTTAACCGAAAATTGGTGTTGGAAATGGGTTTCGGTTACGGCATAGGGATTTTCTTCTGAACACAAATGATTATTGTGGAACTTCTGAATGGCATTTCGAGAAAAATTAGCTTCGTCCGTGAATTGATTCAAATTGCGGATGTTGTGTAAATTTTTGAAGTGACTGACAAAAGGTCACACGACTTGGAAAATGAATGGGAAGTAATGCCTGTGCTCTTAAAATGTGGTAAGGATATAACAAAAAATGCAGTAAATTTCTCCAAACAATTTGAAGGCAAATATTTAAGTGTCTAGCGATCTCCCTCGTACTCGTTTCAGGATGTTCTTCGACTGCTTCCTCAATTTCAGGTGTTATCACACTTAGATGTCTACCTTTAGATGTCCCTTTTCGGACAGAACCAGTTTCAACAAGACGACGATGAATATAAGAAAAGGTTCGACTATCTGGCAAAGCACGATCGGGATATCTCTGGTGATAAAACCGTCTGGCTTGCTCACCATTACCGTCGGCAAGGCCATATACGTAATGCATTTCCGCCATTTCTGCATTTGAATAATTCACCATTATTAACAAGATTGTAAAAACTAAATAATGAAAAAGATGTCACAGCGAACAGATTTGAATAACAGAGACTTGTCAGATGTCAAAAGCCAGTGACATATTCCAGAGCAACTAGATATTTATTGCTAAATTGCATTCTTCAATTATTACATTAATTATCCAGGACAATAGAACGGTTTTTATTTTTTTACTCAAAAATGGCACATCGAAGGAAAACAATTCAAGAGAGATCATTTGTTTTAAATTGAACGGGGAATTCAGAAATAATTTTTATATGGCAAAAAACTATTGAGGTACCATTTTTTTTTTAAATATCGAAGTCAATACCCGTACGCACGCCACTGTTAAAGCTAAAAATTATTTTTGCATTGAAAAATAAGCAACTTTATTAACTTTCACTACGTACTAAATATCAGTGAAATATCTGAAGCGGTTCTGAAAATATTAATTAATTTCCATTTTTTTTTTTCTAAAACTTCAACACCCCGAGTTTCTGTAAGGAAACATTTTTGGACCATAGTTTATAAAGCAAACTAAAATTAATTTTTCATGTAGATTCACACCCTTAAATATTCGCATGTCATTAAGGAACACCCTGTATTATGGCATGTTATTGCCAACAGCCATTCTATGAGTAGAAGTTCCACATCACATCTGCACTTGCTACAAGGCTTACAAGAAGGCATAAATAAACTATCTTCCTTTTTTCAATTTCCTGAGGATCATTTCACTTAGTTGCTTCGGCGTCTTGTGTTTACAGCAATTTATAAATCATTTCATTTAAATCGTCGCAACCCTGAGCATCACCATTAGTTAACGTAAACTCCAAGAATTTTTGAATTTGACATTAAAAAAAGATCTATGAAATCACTTACCATCATATTCCGAGTTTTTGACCCCACTACTCTTGACCCTCCGATGCCTTTTCTTGACATGCGGAGTTTCGGTTTTGGCGATTTCGCCGTTCAAGAACGAGTTACTGCTCGACAGTACCATTCCTTCGTCGCTGCTCTGCTGTTGGGAGTACTTCGAACTGGGATCTTTCACTGTTTCGAAGGCGCTCAGTAGAACCTTTTCTGTCGCTCTTTTATCCTTACCTGGAAAATAAATAGCGTATGACGTATCGTAGAACCTATAAGCAAGTTTTAGCTTCAGCACAAAAAGATTATTATAAAGAGAAAATAATAAGTGCAGGAAAAAAAACCAAAGAGGCATGGGAAGTCGTAAATCAATTAAGATGCAAACCTCCTACTTCCACCAACATGCCACCTATAAATCATGTTATACTAAATAATTACTACTGCGCAATAGCAGAAAAACTACTGATGATACTTTAACATATTTAAATCATATAAGAGTCAAAAATGTTTTCTTTATCCTATGGATATTTATGATGATTTAGTATTAAGATCCACCAAAAATAACAAAATCATCAGGTATTGATGAAAGTTCTTTAAATGTTATACCTAATCTTTCACTTGATGCTCTTGATACTCTCACAAAAGCTATACTCGTAAATATCTCTCTTAACACTGGCATTTACCCAGAGTTTTTAAAAACATCAATAGTTAATTATAACAACCAGTTTGGATTTAAAAAACAAAAAAATATGGATGCTATTTTCACTTTACTGCAACAGATATACCCAAATTTAAACAAAAAACAAATTTCAATAGCTCTCTTGATGACTTTTCCAAAGCTTTTCACTGTGTAAATCATGATATACTATTGAAAAAATTAAGCAAATATGGTTGAACTGGAGCTTCGCTCAATTGGTTTAAAACATTTTAAAAAAATCGATCCCAAATTATAAAATTATCAAGACATTATATTTCAAGTAAATTAAATATAATAAACTCAGGGACCTCAGGAATCTGTAGGTCCAATACTACACCTATAGTCCAGAGCGATGATTTAATAAACATGAATGGTAAATTTGTAGTTCTTGGTGACCATACCATAATGCCTTGGCAAGACAGATATAAATGGAAATAAGATAAAAATTGATATAGATATACAATCAATCAAAAAATGGTGTGACACTAATTACTCGACTTTCAATGTTGATAAGACAAAACGTATGAAATTTGAACGATCCCTTGATTTTATAAATTTAAATAATGAAATGATACACAAAACAAATACCATCAAATTTTTGCGACTGACTACTGATCATACACTAGATTTTACTAATCATGTAGACAAATTGCTTACTCAATTAGCAAAGGCTTCCTTTATTTTAAAAACAATTCGTTATAACGTAGGAAAAAGCACAGCCTTGAACAGTTACTTTACATCATTTTAGAGTAGACTGAGATATAGCATTCCCTTTTGGTGTATCTGTTCCCAAAGTTATTTAAAAAAGTCCTTATTCTACAAAAACGATCTATTAGATATATAACTAAAATCAATCATAGATCTGAATGAAGGACTTTATTTCTTAATCTTAAAATAATGACTGTCGCATCATTGTTCATTGAAGAAACAGCAATTATTTTTAAAAATAAATCTAAATTTGAAACATCAAATATTAGACGAAGACTAGATCTTAAATTAGTAGCCCCTAAATCAAGACTTATGAAAGACTCAAATCATGTATAATGGTCTGAAAATTTACAAGTGTATGCTATCAAAAAATTAACAATTTGAAATTGAAAACTTTATAACATATAAACCATATTTTAGACCATAAGTTCTACAATTCACCTACTCAAGATTTGCATATGTAATTATGTTATAGTTTAGTTTCAAGTTAGATTTGTCATTAAGAATGATTGAATTCTTCAGACATTACAGCAAATTTGTCTTCTATCTATAAAGAGTTTTGCAATAAGCGCGAGCCGATGTTTATATGGAATAGAACATGTGCGTAAGATATTAACGAAATTATTTTATAATATGACGGGTCAACTGGCACACAGTGGCATGAATTCAAGAGGTTCAATGTTCTCATTATGCCACAGAGATCCATCTGAATTTGAGATATTCTGCGGTGGCGTGGTGGTAGAGACGCTACGAGTCTACAAATCAGTCGCCGTGGGCTGCGTGGGTTCGAATCCCGCCCCAAGGGAGCTTTTCTCTTAGCTATAGATTAGGCGGTAGAGGGCCTCCTATCGTCGAACATGGACATCGTATACATACAAAGTTGTTCGGCGTGGATTTTGGGCAAAAATAATGTTGGTTAGGCGATTATCGTCAATAGCGAACATAATAGATCAATAATGTAACCACTTTCTTTTGGTCCGAATAAAAAGGTATGAACGTTAGGAGGTTAGTTATCTCAGAAGTAACGTGAATTGGCGGCCAAGATCGTACGATTTGACCCCATCAGATTTTGTTGTGGGATTGTCTGAACTCGCAAGTCAGCAAGCTGTAATCCACTGATGCCCAAAAATTAATCATATTCGAGGATATTGCTCAAAGCCTAAGAAGGCATATTAAACTATATCCCAAGAATTTCGCATTTATTTCTATTTTCTATAAGCAATATCCTAATAACAGAGTCTGGATAGTAGAGAGTTTTTATATATCACAGATCTATTATTTTTCTATACCACAAGCATAGAAAAATGTTGCCTCTGTTTAGTGATATGTATTGTATATATGAAATTTCGGCTTAACCTATCCTACATCGTTTTTAAATGATCTATCTACCTATCTATCATTTAAGTACTAGTTAATGCACAAGTGAATAAGAATGACTCACCCGTGATCGACAGCCCTCCAAATCCTTCATTAATCCCCGCATGACAGTTTCCAGCTCCAGTCCCAGCCACCGTAATGATGGCCTTGGTACCCCTGGGCCTCTTTCCAGGTACCTTCACAGTAACATACTGCAGACTGACTTCCTTCCCGTGCACGTCGTCCATGTAGTCGTGCAAACTCGGGTGGTACGTCAGTCGACCATCGTCGCAGAGGGTCACGTACTTCTTTTTCCATTCTTTGTTTAAGGGTTTGCTGCTGCGCTTGTACAGATAGCCTTGTTTCAGGGGGATGGCTCGGCCGCTACCCCAGTCGCCGCCGTTTTTACTTTTTTCGTCACCCTAGAGAAACAATTATTTAGCACTAAATTCATTTTCTGAAGTATGTATAAACATTCTACCAGCTGAACTATGCAGACTTGTGTTTAATGTCATATAAAAAAAATACGTCAAGTAGGTTGATTTTGCACTTCTAAGCAAGAGAAGAGAGAGAAAAATTAGCTGCAAGCATGAACAATAAGCATTGAATTAATCAAGTCAGTTAATCTTTCCTATTGTCCCCACCTATTTGACAATAGGGTGATATAGGAATTTTTTCCCTACTCTACAGATAGTACCGATCATCTGGCAACGTTGCTATGCCTGACCTCGCCACTAGTCAGCCACACCCTGACGCAGGTATATTCAGAGATATCACTCTATCAGTTTTAAGGGCAAATGTACGGGGAAATATATGGTGTGTGAAATATGTTTAATAGGTAGGTAGAATTAGCGGGGTTTCCATGCTAAATTGCTGGGGAATGACTTTTCGTATTCAAAGCCTGCGACCAAACACATTCTAGACTTATACAGGCAGTTTTAGAAAGACGTGCCAATATTTCTAGGGTAGAAAGTACATCAAAAAATAACATAAAAACTTTTTATAAATATCGGTCTAAAGATGCTCCCCTACCGAGATTCAGGGTGATGAAGTTTTATTAATATATATAATAATAATAAACACACAGAGTTTCCCAGCCCAAACTAAACCAGGGACGTAGAAACTAGGGTATCTGGACACCTAATAGGAAATATTTTCTACACCACTGACATTTTCGGAGAAAAGAAGTATATCTTATAAGATACCATTCAATTGTCCATTAATTTTGTCTCTTTTGTCAGGTCATTCGTTAGAGATATTTGGGTTTGGATATTCGAGGTAAAGTCCTAAAATGTTCTTATGAAAAGGTTTTACCTCCCCTATTTTGAAACCATCGCTTGATAATGGAAACACTATATGCGTGTCTTATCCTCAATCAGTGGTGTATAAGCTTAACATTCATTAAACCTTGTCTATGTACGCCACTGGTTTTCATGGTATACTTCTCCTACCCAAATTAGATTCTTCTGATTATCTAAATTCACACCTAATAATTCTGGAACCAATCAATTTGCGTAAAATTCTTATTATTTTACTTCTGAAATTATCAGCCATTTTTGTCAAAATTCTTTAGCATTTCGGATTAAGTGAGCTCAACAAAGCTTATATCACAAATCGTCAGCAACCTCGGACACGAAGTATGAGGACGAAGTATAATCGTACAGAAGGCTTTGAACACTTCTCGTACTACGCCAGGTATTCCAGAGTCTTTGAAGCGTACAGCTCGGACTTGGGTTAAATCCAGAGGTGGTCACTTTCAACACCTCCTTTAGGTTGGATGTTATAGCATTTATTCAGCATTATTTATTGTTCCCAATGTTATGTCCTCATAAATTTAGGAATAACCACGTAATTTGTATCAAATGTAATGTTTATCGTTGTCGTGTTTAATTCTTATTAGCTTTATGTATTTATTTTGAAATAAACATTTTCTTTGTTTTGAAGTTCCTTTATCTATAAACAAAAATATATGGCGACAAAAACCAGTGGCGTGCTCAGGAACGATTTAGTTAATGGAAAGCTTCGAAAATACTGATTGAGGATAAGACAGACATATTATTCAATTAATGTTGTAATGAGGTGCCATAGCTTTTTTCACATGTCATACAGTGTTTTCAATATCCAGTTTCACAGTGTTTTCAGAATAGGGGAGGCTAAACCTTTTCTTAAGAATATTTTAGGATTTTACCTCAAATATTCAAACCTAAATATTTCCAAAACGAGTGATCTGACAAAAATTCCTTATGGAAACTTGAATTATATTTATTTTCTCCGAAAAGGCCAGTGGCGAAGAAAATATTTTGCTACCAGTAATCCAGGTACCCCAGTTTCTACATCCCTGGTTTAGTTTGGGCCAGGAAAATCTATGTGTTTATTGTTGACGGTGAGCTCACTGAACGTCTAAAATACTGACTCAGTATCTTTAAATTTCGTAAACAAAACTTCATTACCCTGTATCCCGGTAAGGGAGCATCTGTGTATCCATATTTATAGCAACTTTTTTGTTATTTTTGAATCTACTTTCTACTCTAGAAATATTGGCATGTCGTATATGATACTGGATCCTTTGGCACATAACTTTGAGTATTAGACATTTTTACATATTCTTTAGTAGGATATATGATTTTGTCGACGTCGAATATCAAAGTCATCCAATATCGAATACTCCCTACTAATATAAATGAGAATGTGTGGTTGTTTGTTACTTAACACGCGAAAACTAAATTAATAATTAAATTATTATAGTCTGGAATAGCACATAGGCTACCTTTTATCCCGGAAAATAACTTTGAAATATTGATTTCATGGGCTACAGCTCAAAGGCCTCCATGGAGTTTGAAATGGGGCATTTGCATTATCTATTTACTGCATTTCGACGTTCGTTTTCTTAGCGTGATCATTTTGATTAAGGTTTGAGTGGTGTTTCATTTTATTTGAAGTATATTACTGTAAGTTAGGATAATGTTAAGACATGCCACACAGGCTCTGATATACTTCACGTATTATTTATTGTCATTCTGGTTACAAATTTGATATTAATATATTGTTGCATTATAATTGAATAAAAAAGCCCATTGCCAAAGTGACTATTGCATTCCTTTGAATATTTCATTTCTTTTTCCGCAACAGATCTCTTTCAAAACGAATGATCCATACTCTGCACAACATCCACGCTGGCGGAGCCGCGGGTTTAGGTTAGTAAATACATAAATCCACTATTCATATTTTTGTAAGCCGTTTAAAAACAGCTGCAGGATAGACATGGATGTTTGCCATGCCGTATGGTAAATATTTACGCAGAATAGATCCCGCTAACAACCGATAACGTTCAATATTATTATTTGCGGAACAAATTTGCACGCCTACTTTTAAGAGTGAGTAGTATTGAATTACGTTTATGATATATTGAGATTAATACACTTTATATCAAGGCTTATAATCCATTTATAGAAATTATAAGTGTCGTATTAAATTTCTAGTTCACTGTTGTCACATTTAACGTGTGACTCGATCCCAACGACACCTGTTTAGATTAGATTAGTTTTAGTGCAACTTTTGACTCATTTGTCTACCAGTGCCTACCAAAGTGACGGCGTTGTATCAACATAATAATAATAATAATACTGGTGGAAACTTCTACCTTGTGCCGCTCTTTTCAAATTATGTAAGAAGTATTATGTCTTGAAATCGTGTTAACACTACAATTATCTGCAAATACTCGCACTTCTAAAAAATAACACTAAATATACAAATTTAATGACAGAACTGTCCAAAGAATGAATTATGTCAAGTGCATTTTGATCCCCTCTACATACTATGAGAAGTAGGAGATAAACAAATCCTTGACTCGCCCTTTTTACCTAGTCTGAATTCGCTGCGCTGGATAGACAGCGCCAACTCAATGAATTACAATTTTCAATGGTTTATGATTTGTGAGTCTCTTTTGAATCACTACAAACCAACCAATCCAGACTAGGTAGAAGGCGCTGGCCTACGATAGCCTAGGATTTGTTTGTCTTTTTATTCTCATAGTAGTAGAAGTACCATGACTTGAAATCGTGTTAACATTACGATTATCCGCAAACACTCGCACTTCTATATACAAATTTAATGGCAGACCTCTCAAAAGAATAACTTATGTCAAGTGCTCTTTGACTGGCTCCTTTTACCTAGTCTGAATTCGCTGCGTTGGATAGACATCCAACTCAGTGAATTACAATACAATTCTCAATGGTTTATGATTTTTGAGTCTCTTCTGAATCACTACAAACCAACGTATTTAGACTAGGTAGAAGGAGTTAGCCTACGATTTGTTTGTCTTAGTATGTAGTCAGGATGAAAGTGGATAAAGTTAATTTTTTCAGTTCTCGTATTAAATTCGTATTTTTAACGTTATTTTTCTGAAATGCTAGTGTTTGCAAATAATTGTGGTGTTGGACGATTTCAAGATATGATCCTTCTTGCATAATTTGCAAAGAGCAGCACATGTCTAATGAAGGTAGATCTTTCCAACGGTAAGCATTATTATTTTGTTGAAGCAACGTTGTCACTTTGGTCGGCAATGGTAGTCAAATGAGTCAAAAGTGTGCACTAAAAATAGGCACTTTTATCAACAAACAATGCAATGTAAACATATAGGCGTTCTAATCTATTCGAACTCGTTGCTACAAACCAAGAAATCACCTAAGCAATGTCGGCCAAATAGGATATGTTTTGATCTCGGTGAACATAACCAAGCGTATACAGCGTTGTTTCATGCGTTTTAGCAATAACCAGTGAGCTATAGGTCTAATCATTGGAGACAGACAAGAGAAAGCAAACAAGCGAATATCGGTGTACAAAAAAACTCATATTCACTTGTTTGTCTTCCATTCTCAGTGGACCTACAACATACTGGTGATTACTAAAAAGTATGAAACAACGTTATATACGGTTGGATATGGTCACAGAGGCGTAAGGCAGATATATCCTATTCAGTATGTGTTTGGCTTATTCAACTTTTGCGTAATATGCCTGGTAGTAGGACGCTTGTCCGTTTCGTAGAAGCGGACTCTCATTCAGAGGCAGAGGGTCGGCAGTACCTCGTTTGGGAAACAACTCATAGGTGGCACCCGGTGCGGAAGTTGGTGGTGTCACCCCATCGAAAGTCAAAAACAATAAATTTTATATGATTTATAAACGTCATGGATCATTTAATAGTTATATTTAAAATATTGAACAAATAACAAAACACAATAAAAACTAAGACAGAAAATATATTTTTATCTTAGAATTAAATTATCTTCTTTCTAGCTTTAACAGCTGCAAACTCAGAAATAACTTCATCAACATTTATATTTTGTATTGCCTCGTGTTCGATGGCTAATATGACAAGATTGCTAAGTCGCGATTGGGTCATTGTTGCCCGGAAAACGGTTTTTTCTTAATTTTAGTTTACTGAAACTCTCATGAAGCTACGGACACGCAAACCGTCATGAACAATTTTAGTGCAATCATAAGATTTGGAAGAGATTCTGAAAAATTCAATTCTACAATAAAATTTAAAAAATCTAGAGATACCCAATCAGAAACTGTAAAATTAGCAGCTTTTAAGTGTCTTCGCAGTCTTTGTATCTCCAAAATTCTGTTTTCGAGACCTCATCATAAAAATCAGTAAATTTGGATTGAGCTAATTTCAGTTCTTCAGTATTCGCCAAAAGCAAAGTATTTCTTTGTGCGATCTAGAACAATGAAGCTAGGTCTTGAAGAGACTTCGGTCTTGTCTGAAGTTCAACTCTGAATCGGTTAAGACATTCCAACATATCTTTTTCAAGTTCTTCTTTCAGTGTGAGTCCTGCATCACTGGCTATCGCACCAACCACCCGTTTTTTACGACGAAGTCGTCTTTCTATTGGAATATCGTAGTCTTCTGATTTTTTTGTAGCAATATTTATTGCCACTTCCACAATGTGACCCCGTTTGTCTTCGATAGAGAGACGAAGTGCCTCTATTTTGTAGGAGTTTCATCAACAGTTAAGCCTTTACTTTGTAATGCAATCTGTGCATTTTTTTATGTTTGTACATTGTCCTTAAAGTTGAGTGATTGGGTGGGTGTCACCCCAAAAAAGGTGACCCCCTTGCTACGCCGCGATAAACAATGTACAGTCTACGAAAACTAAAAGTTAGCCAACAAAGTTGAAATCACTTGAAAATAAACTAATCTTTCCAAGGTCTTTCGGAGCAAGGTTTCAACTTTAATTTAGATACTTGGAGACCTCAAAAATTATAATCTTTTACAGGGTTTTTAAGAACTGAATATACCCGCACGGTAAGCCAGGTCAAATTTGTTTAAATATTTATTAAAACAAATTACAATTTATTCTGCCTGGATAATTTTTTCAGGTTTTTTGGATCATTCCGAACAAAAAAGGTTTTTACTGACTTTTCTCTAAAGCTGAACATTTCCGAATTATAAGCGATTTAATGTCGCTAAAAGCCCTAAAAATGGGTATATTCATTGCTTAGAAACATGGATGAAAATTATAATTTTTGAGGTCGCCAAGGATCTAAATTAAATTTTAAACGTTTCCAAGTCACCAAGGAGTATTTTTAGTCTACTTTATTCCAAAGCGATAACCTTGTCTGTTGGGCCAACATTGGCAGACTATATTTTTCTCAAATCCTAAAAATTCCCAAACTTATACAAAAAATCATGCTAATTATGCAAATTTTAAGGTCCAATCGGATTCTCAGAGGGTACCACGACCCCCCTCCCCCCCTCCTAGGATCTAATAAATACACCTGTAACTACCTTTTTCGATGGTGCAAATAGGTTGGACCTCCTCCTACTTTTCCTCGAAGTAGTGGGAGTAGAATTTGGAGTAGGAAGATCCTTGGAATCCCTGGAGTTACTTTGCGAGTTCTGTAGGTTATCCAATGAATGTGGAGCTGCAAACTTGGCCACGTTGTTGTTCTCCGTTTGTATCGTCTGAACAACTAGACCTAAAATAACAATGAAGAGTTAAAATCAAGGGGTCTCTCACTTATGTTGTCTTTATTAAGTTGCTTTTGATAAGTTCTTTAAAAATAAGTGTTATATTAGATAAGAAATATGTACAATTTTCAGAAAAGAAATTTGCTTCAACAAAAACAAAAACTTTGGGAAGTAATTTTAAATATTAAAGATGTAATTTAGAATCTACATGCCTTGTGAAGAACTGTGACTGCCCCCAGTTGAATTGCTTGAATTCCATTTGTCTTCGGCTGATTTGTAGATATCCTTGTCATGATCTCTAAGGATATGATGAGAGGACTTCAAGGTATGTACCTGCCTCAAGTCTAATTGTTGACAATTCATCGAATCCTGCAAAAAATAAAACAAGACTTGAGAAATAGCACAGAAGCACAACCGCAAAAAATAGACTTGCTAGTACTTTTTGAAGCTCAAAAAACAATTTTATCTTCAGCAACTGAGAAATGTTCCAGTAATAATAGTATCTTATCCGACAAGGTGTGATGTGTCACGATCGAAACCCACTGGATTGTATCGCATTGAACGAAAAACAACCAACCATGATTAACATAAATAAAAATTGCAGGAATGAAAAACTGCTTGAATAATATTAGTGCCTTATGTGACAAGATGTAACTCCATTTTTGAAAAACCGCAAATTTTACAAAACAACTGCATGAGAATAATACTGAATAAAGATAAATATGCTCCAATTAAACAAACGCTTAGCAAATTAAAATGTCTCAATGTGAAAAGATTTATCAAATACCTAGTAATTATATTGATTTTTAAAGTAAAAAATAATGTCTAACCGAATTAAAAAAGTATAATATAGATTACAAATTTATATTCCATCAAGGATTGAGTATAATTAAATACAAAGACAAAAGACGTGAATACTTTGAAAAAATTCAAAGCAAAATTGATGAATCACTTATACAATTATAGCTTGCCTAGCATGTGCATCATATGGCTTGAATTTAATAATTCTAAGTTGTTCATAATTATTTTGTTTATATAGCCAAACATGCTGAATACATCTTTCTACTATTACTACTGCCAATGCCTCAGACCTGCAGGAAAAAATGAGGAAAGGAGAAAGACGGAGAGACCACCTTGTTTTTTGTTTGAAAACAACTTCTAATAAATGTTCTTACACTGCTGCTTATTATCTCCCTTCTTAATTACTTTATAATAAGTGCAAACGACTTGACAATACCCCCTAAAAGTAGGCAACCTATAATACTTGCCCCTCAAGACGTGATCCTGGATCCGCGCCAGGGTTGGGCCAAGCATTAGCCCTGGCTGGTTGGTTTAAGACATGGGAAAATTAAGGAATATTTTGATAATGATAGTACCTTATGTGACAAGGTGTGATTGTGTCCAGGCGACATATGCTGCGACTGGGCCAATGGATGGACCCCCGCGTAACCGTTGTTGGTTTGGGCCATGTGCCTTGCCGCGTGGTAGTGACTACTGTTGTTGGGTGTTGAAGGTCTGGAATTGGTGGGAGTCAAACAGAGCGCTGTCGTTGAAGCTGTCATGCGCTGCTGGACGATCTTCTGACAGGCTAGAAAAAAAATAGAGAAAACTTAACACTGTTGGCTGCTACAAGCTTTCTGAAAATACCTTGCTTACACTTAAACATACAAGAATATAATTTCAGGAATAATTCTCTACCTATAGCACTTATTTATTTCGGAAATAGACGCGAATTTGGCACGAAGTACTTTTGACCAGAACCTATCACTTCACGATCCGACCTACTGGGACTTTTCACGTGAAGCGGACAGCGAAAAAAGTGAGGTTTTAAGTTTCGTTCATAATGGGCCTATTTGAACATCTAGCAGGAGTGAAAGAGAGAACACGATTTTTTTTTTCGTGGCACGTTCATTTGCTAAGTGTATTTGGAATTGGGATTTTTTCGAGGATTTTTTTTCTAATTAAAAAGTATCATAGCGTTTTATGTATGAAATGTTCTGTACTTTTTGATAAAAAAAATAAACAAATTTGGAATTAAAAAAAAACTTGAGGTGCTACACCGGAAGTAAACATTTCAAACAAAATTTGGGCAACTTTGAATTTTTTATTTTCAATTTTTTTACTCCAAAATACAGCCTAAAGTGTGTTTAAAATACAACAGAATTTTTGAAATGGTATGGGCATTAATCAAGTTGGTACATGTTTTTATGTGCATACATGTCGTCCCGGCTATACCGTTATCAGCTTGTCTAGCTCGAAAGGTTTGCGAGATATTGCATTAATAGGCCACTATGAGCATTTTTCAGCTCTAATAATCATTTTAAATATATTTTTACATACAATTATAATTTGTTTTCATACGATTTTGTAAAATATTGAAATTTCAAAAAATACGGTGCAAAATCAGAAGTAAACGCTCTAAGCCAGTGGTCGCCAACCTTTTCAGTGTGTTGAGCTACTTTGATAATTTTGGAATAAATAGTGAGCTACGTAGTAGTAAGCAATGTAAGCTAACTGAAATAATCTTAAATAAACTAATAACCAATACATACTACATGGCTACATCGATTCCTACCAATCGTAGGTGTTTGAAAATGAACAAAATTTTTCATCAGCTCCAAAGGCATGTCATATACGATTTAATAAAGGTAACTAAAAATAAAAAAGCAACGCACTCGTATTTTAAACAAAAAAATGTTCAGATAAAAAGTGCGTGTTCAATGAGAAGCCTGACACACAGACTCACTGACAATTTTTTTAATGTTTGGAGTATAACTCGATACGGCCATTCGAATACAATTATCCAAATGTTCAGCTGTAAGTCGATTACAGTATTTGTTTTTAATTTGAAAAAGAAGATTCGCACAAATAGGTTGAACTAAATAATGCTTTCACTATCAAGCCAAAATGAAATAAAACTGAATATTTACCTTTACTTACTGAAGGCCAGATACATTTTGTATTTGAGACTAATTTTAAAGCTAAATCGTTTTGAAACGCAATCACTTCCATTTCTGTCGCAGCGATGTCTTCGCTACAATTCTGGGTAACAGAAGTTTCAAACTGTTAGATATCAATTTCCATGAAGGGTGAAACAACAAATTAGAGACTATTTCTAGACGATATTTACTGTCATATGGTTCTAATGGACTTTGTACCCAAACTTCAAGCTTTTTAATAAACGGTTTTATATCAGAAATCATTTCCTATAGTTCTTTGTCTCTCCCCTGAAGCTGCAAATTAAGTTCATTTAATTTTTCTGTAATATCCACAGGAAAGCCAAAAACTCTTAAGCCAGATTTGGAATTGGTATTTTTTCGAGGAATTTTTTTCGAATTAAAAAGTATCATAGCGTTTTATATATGAAATGTTCTGTACTTCTTGATAAAAAAATAAACAAATTTGGAATTAAAAAAAAACTTGAGGTGCTACACCGGAAGTAAACATTTCAAACAAAATTTGGGCAACTTTGAATTTTTTATTTTCAATTTTTTTACTCCAAAATACAGCCTAAAGTGTGTTTAAAATACAACAGAATTTTTGAAATGGTATGGGCATTAATGAAGTTGGTACATGTTTTTATGTGCATACATGTCGTCCCGGCTATACCGTTAGGAACTCGTCTAGCTCGAAAGGTTTGCGAGATATTGCATTAATAGGCCACTATGAGCATTTTTCAGCTCTAATAATCATTTTAAATATATTTTTACATACAATTATAATTTGTTTTCATACGATTTTGTAAAATATTGAAATTTCAAAAAATACGGTGCAAAATCAGAAGTAAACGCTCTAAGCCAGTGGTCGCCAACCTTTTCAGTGTGTTGAGCTACTTTGATAATTTTGGAATAAATAGTGAGCTACCTAGTCGTAAGCAATGTAAGCCAACTGAAATAATCTTAAATAAACTAATAACCAATACATACTACATGACTAGGTCCATTCCTATCAATCGTAGGTGTTTGAAAATGAACAAAATTTTTCATCAGCTACAATGGCATATCACATACGATTTAATAAAGGTAACTAAAAATAAAAAAAGCAAGGCACTCGTATTTTAAACAAAAACATGTTCAGATAAAACATGCGTGTTCAATGAGAAGCCTGACACACAGACTCACTGACAATTTTTTTAATGTTTGGAGTATAACTTGATACCGCCATTGGAATACAATTATCCAAATGTTCATCTGTAAGTCGATTACAGTATTTGTTTTTAATAAACTTCATATTTGAAAAAGAAAATTCACACCAATAGGTTGAACTAAATAATGCTTTCACTATCAAGCCAAAATGATATAAAACTGAATATTTATCTTTACTTACTGAAGGCCAGATACATTTTGTATTTGAGACTAATTTTAAAGCTAAATCGTTTTGAAACGCAATCACTTCCATTTCTGTCGCAGCGATGTCTTCGCTACAATTCTGGGTAACAGAAGTTTCAAACTGTTAGATATCAATTTCCATGAAGGGTGAAACAACAAATTAGAGACTATTTCTATACGATATTTACTGTCATATGGTTCTAATGGACTTTGAGATATCTTTTCTGAAAGAACAGGAAACTGCCTGTAATCGCCATCGATTAAGTTTTGTACCCAAACTTCAAGCTTTTTGGTAAACGCTTTTATATCAGAAATCATTTCTTATAGTTCTTTGTCTCTCCCCTGAAGCTGCAAATTATGTTCATTTAATTTTTCTGTAATATCCACAGGAAAAATTAACTATGGCAGATATGATATCATTAAAAAGGTTTCAAAACTCCTACTTAACCATCGCACTTCAGAGTGAAGATGTAGTTCCCTGTATTTTGTTGAATAATCTTCTTTGTAACGCTTGAGCTCTAATCTTGCTCGCAATTTTTACTACCAATTTCATAACGCTGTTTAGTTTTAGAAAATGTCCACATAATGCTTGCTGATGGATAATGCAGTGGTAACAGAGAAATTGCGGAAAACTTTCATCTTTACGACATAACCCCACGAGACCCTTATCACGACCCACCATAGCTGGAGCGCCATCGGTTGTCAAGCCTACCATTTTCGATATTGGAATTTTGTCAGAAGAAATAATATTTTTAGAAGAAGAAAACAAGTCCTGCCCAGTAGTCTGTCCTTTTAGTGGAATAAACTTCAAAAAATCTTCTTTAATCGTAAAATCGAAAAATAAGCATAGTTATCGAAGTCATTTCTTAACTGTAAAACTATATCATTGCTCATTACTTCTACTCGTCTCATCACTGTATTAGCAGAAAGTTGCATAGATTTTATAGCAGACACTTTCTCGTCTTTATTTCTAAAGTTTTCAAATAACGAATCTGCAGCTTATAAAAACGCCTGTTCTAGCATTCCCCGTCTTCATAAGGTTTCTTCTTTTGTGTAATTATCTGAGACACCCGGTATGACGCTTCAGTTGCACCCTTACTCTTGTCGATTGTTTTTAAAAACATTGTCTGTTGTCCAATTGACTGATTTTCCCAACCGCTGTACTTTGTGCCGTTCAGTTCCAAACTGAGCGCACTGTCGCCGCGCCTTGCGTATTTATTGCGTTCAAAGTAATCGAGATCGTTCTCGAACAGATCGCTCACCGCAGTGTTGCCGCTGCTTAGGTAGCTCGCGATCGACGAGTTAGCGACCACTGCTCTAAGCCATAATTTGGGTAACTTCTACCATTTTTATCCTGTTTTTTTACTCCAAAATATAATCTAAAGTGTGTTAAAAATACACTAAAAGTTTCAAAATGGGATGCGCATTCAGTAATGCGAGAGATTTTTTTATGTACCTACTGTCGTACTGAGTATGACGTTAGGCGCTTGTTAGTCGGCATTTTAGTAAAACTAAATTAGCTTTACGTGAAATGTCCCCTCTCACTCGGTTATTCAAACTCAATCTGTTATAATTTGTTTTCGTCATTGGTATTCTAGAATCTGATAAACTCACAGTACCGGTACATTGATTTTAGCTAAATCTTTTCTATTTTCGGTATGAATAAACGCGGTAAATTCGCCGTAGCATGACCGAGCCAATTATATAGCTGGTACTCATCCCAAAAATGTCCAATTAGTTACATGTAGCTGCCGCATAATTTACATAGCCTACTGAATAACGTTATCCTGTCAGTCAGGTTTATGTCTAATAGGAATTTAATCTAATATTTGGGTCAGTAGGGCGAAAGCTTTATTAATTTTCAGGATAATCCTACAAGAGATGGGAACAGGGAAAATTTCGTAATTAGAAAATATGCCAGAATAGGAATCTATTATCATCGCATTGACTATTGAATTCGCTGTAATATGGTTTGGACTATTACAGATACCTACATATTATATGTGATAGCAGTCTGACGGGAAAAATCTATTCGGCTTTTGTTAGCTCAAATTTTATCAAGAATCTACACAGTAAATTTCGCTAGTACGACATGGAAACCTCCAGAATGAAATATGAGGGACATACTTCTTATTTTGTGACGCTAACCTTCATCGCTACCCTCCTAAAATATGTAATTAAAATACTCGAGAGAGTGAAGAGGGGAGCTTGAGCAAGTGGCTTCATATTTTAATGATATATTACGGGCTATAATTTCCTG